TTAGGGCCAGAAAATGGCCTTCCATCCAGAAACATCTTTCTCCAAATAACTGCCTTTTTCAAAATCAAGTTGAACAGACACCAACGTTACTTCCAATTCTAAAATCCCATGATTCTGTCTTCTAGGAGTTTTGGACTAGAGGAGATTGCAGTTAAAAATCTGTTACACTGTGGCCACACCACAGTTTTTATTATAGTGATGCAGAATGGTAGCGATAATGATGTTGATAGTGAAGAGAACGCTTAAGCACATTGTGCCTCTGCAGACGGATTAGCCAAGGCAGTACTAGATCATGGAAAAAGAATTTCATTTGACTGGGGGTGGGGGGCAAGGAGTGTAAAAACAACCAGGCTGAAGAACTAGCTAGGACCCAGGTTTGGTTTTGAGGGCCTTAGCAACGGGGACTGAACCTGTGATTTCATTGGTATGTGGAAATCTCAGGTGAGAAAACTCTCTACCATTTCAGATCAGTACCTTCTCTGCCGTTCCTAGCCTTAGAGAGTGATTGTTTCCCCAGGGCAGAGTTGGAGGAAGGAGCAAGAAAAAAAAGCACAGACTCCCAGGAACACATGAATGGACCCTACTGGAGGGGTAGGGAGGGAGTTTGGGCTAAGGGAGATTAATGTATGACTCCCAACCCGCATTAATCTCCCTTAGTGTCACTCGACCTCTGAGCGGTGATCCATTCGTGTATTCTTGGGGAGTCTGTGCTTTTCTTCTCACCCTCCCCGCAACTCTGCATTGGGAAAACAGCTGTGGAGAGTGAGGGCAGCTGGTAATCAGCCATACTGCGGATCCACGAGAAATTCATGTTATTTAATGTCCAGGACATAGTAGGGATAAGATAGTAGGGAACACAGCAGGGATAAGATTAGGGACCGGACCTGTGATTTGAGAGCTATAGGGGACTCCTCCTACCAGTCAAGCCTCCAACTGTTCTGCACCTTAGACTCCTGCATGGAGAGGTTTAAATGACCCTCCCAGGGTTACTCAGTCAGTGTGAGCCAGAGGCGTGAATGAAAACCCGGGGCCATCCTGGCTCCAATGCCAGCACTTTGACTACCAAAATCAAGATGTTTTTGCATTGATGATTGAATGAATGAAGGAATGAACAAATGAACGAGTGAATATACAGGCAGCTATTCATCCAAAACAGTTTCATCTCTTTCAAATTAGTCCCCCTGGGAGACTACACACTTAACCATTTAGGGGTAGAGTGCTTGGAGTCACTGAGTTTGTGTCTTATTCAGAAACTTACAAACTCTGTGACCCTGGGCAAGTTATTTGCCCTTCGTGTACCTCAGTATCCTCATCTGTAAAATAGGGATAAGAATAGCACCTACCTCTCAGGGTCACAGTGAGGATCAAATGAGTTAAGGTAAGTAAAGAACTCTGCCAAGCTTAACACAATATATAACTCCTAAGTCTCGTTGTTGTTACTTAGTCTGACAATGTTCAAAATGTCACCGACACTAAGTTCTCTCTTGGAAGCACCTTCAGGGCCCATTTATGAGCCACAAAGCTGTCTTGTTATTTTATCACCACTCCTAAATATCTCTGTCACCTCCTCCCATCTTAAAAACGTGAGGAGCCAAGCATTAGCTGTAACACGACCGTGGCTACCCAGACCTTTTCCTAGACCTGCATCTCCACTCAAACACAGGTCATGTCCAAGAATGTCGAGTCAGATATTAAAGCCATATGGAAGGCTTCCTAGACTGTCTGTGTCTATTTCATGGAATCATAAAATTTTTAAAGCTGGAAGAGGCCTTTGAGATCTCCCCCTCCCCCCAACCACCACCACCACCACCATTTAATAGATGAGGAAGCTGCGTCCCAGGGAAGGGCAGTGACTTACCCATGATCACACAGCTAATTAGTGGCAGAGCCTAGAGACCTAGGACTATTCAATCTAATGCAAAAGTTTTAAGTGCCTCTTATGTCCAATATCCCCTGATTCCACACACGTTAACGTTCTTTCTACTATATTCCCGACTACGTTTTTTTCTTTCAATTCAATCCAACCCAGCCAGCGTTTATTAAGCACGTACTGTGTGCCGGGCGCTGTGCTAGGCGATGGAGGATATAGATACAAAAATCCAACATCTGCTGCCTTTGGAAGATTTTATTCTACACTAGAGGAAAGCGGCATATACATTTACATTTGTAAATCAATAAAATGGCATTTGGCTCTGAACACAAAAGACAAAAAAGTCTCACTCTAAGTGACCGCTGGATGCTGATGAGTTGGAAAGGAGAAAAGAATAAATGTGCTCAGGACAGTGCAATATCTCTGAAAAAAGTATCATGAGCCTGGTGCATCGCCCAGCTTGTGAAATTCTGCCCTTATATCTATATTTTTTTCTTTTTCTTTCACTTCAAAGGGTAGCTTTGCACTTAATCTTCCTGCCTCCAGTGACCCTCGTCCTCCAACACAGCCTCTGGACCACTCCAAGAGTCAACCTCAGAAAACACAATTTTCACGGCACTTCCTGTCCCAGAGGCCACCCAAGCCACCCTGTGTTGAAGACACAGATTCCGTCAATTCTTCTGGGCCTCAGATTCCACATCTGTAAAATGGGGGGATTGAACCAAATGATTTCTAAAGTCTCTTTCAGCTCTACACTAGTCCCTTCCCTCCAGGGTCTGTCCTACTGATCTATCTAACAAAATTCCCACAGCCTTTCTTTCCCACACACTCTTGCTACGTCCACCATGCTTTCTTACTGGAACACACATGACTGACCCTTCCTAGGATTCTTATAACATGTTATTCACAGACAGCTGGCAGCAGGGACCTCAGTAGACATTAATCCAACCAACACACAAAATATAGTGTACCCAACAAATGTTCATCCAGCCTATTCAGGAAGATTTCCAGGTGAAAGGGGGAATGCGCCACCTCCTAAGACAACGTATGTTCATCATCGTAGACTCAATGGGCCAGTCCGTTTGGCCTTTGTATTGTTCATCACTCATAGAACTCTCTTTCCATTGCCTTCCCTTTGCTTTGGCTGTTGTCCACACTGGAATGCAATCCTCTCTCACCTTTGCCTCATCAAGTCCCTAGTTTTCCTCAGTCCTCAGCCCAAGCACCACCTTCTTCAGCTTACTGCTCCCCCATCATCTGGCACATATCACTATATGTACTTGTTGACTCCCCCAAGAGAACATACACTCCATGAGAGCAGGCTTTTGTTTTTGTCATTGCGTCCTTAGAGCTTAGCACAGTGTCTGGCATACAGCAGGTGATTAATAAATCCTGATCCAGGGGTTGATTAATAACTTTGTTCAATTTGTTTTTCTCTTCTTGGACTCTAAGAGTTTAAGGTACTCAACAAACATTTGAGTTAACGGTTTATAATTGCAACCATCCCCGAAACTGGCTATGGTGCTATCCCCTACAGAGCTGGATTCTGTGCAAGACAAGTCCAACGTGAGCCCCCATCCAAGGCAGTGGCTTATGCAATCAGAGATTCTCAAAGTTGGAGGAGACCTCAGAGGCCAGGGAACCCAGTCCATACCTGGCAAGAATCCTCTTCAAAACAGATTTATTTCATAGACAGAGTCTCAAGGTAGGAGGGGACTTCAGAAGTCACCAAGCCCAAGATCTCATGAAGAAGACTAGACCAGGGGCAGCTCGGTGGTACAGTGGATAGAGATCTGGCCTTGGAGTCAGGAGGACCTGAGTTCAAATCCGGCCTGAAATACTTGACACTTAACTAGCTGTGTGACCCTGGGCAAGTCACTTAACCCCGATTGCCTCACCAAAAATAAAAGAAATAAAGGTGATATTAAAAAAAAAGATAAAAAAAGATATCAGTAAAAGTTTTGGGGCAGCTAGGTGGCGCAGTGGATAGAGCGCCGGCCCTGAAGTCAGGAGAACCTGAGTTCAAATCCGGCCTCAGACCAAACACTTGACACATACTAACTGTGTGACCCTGGGCAAGTCACTTAACCCCAATTGCCTTAAAAAAAAATAAAATAAGAAGACTAGTCCATCCAACACTCCCAACAATGACACAGTCAGCCTCTGCCTGAAGCCCTCCAGGGAGGACACGAGGATTCCTTTGACCTAATGTGCTGGGTTAGATGGTTGGGCCGAGGTCCTTTCCATTCTGTGCTGGTGTTACTACATGGAGGAAGACCAAGGTCTTCCTACATGACTCTGCACCCAGATGAACAAACCCAAAGAACAAAGAGACTGTGATTTCTCCTGAACCATACACAATATGCCCATTTCTGTATCTAGTACCTAGCACAGGGTGTTGGTCCTAACATCATAGGATCATCATAGATGTAAAATCAAAATGGCCCTCAGAGACCATCTAATCCAATCCCCTCGTTTTATAGATGAGGAAAAGGAAGGCCAGGGAGATGAAGGACCTTGCCCAAGGTCACACAGGCTGTAAGGGTCAGTGATTGGATTTTAATCCAGGTCCCCTGACTCCAGAGCCAGGGCTCTTTCTACTATACCAGATGCTTGATAAAGATTTGTTGAAATGAACTGGCCTACGTTAGACCTGAGCTCCCGCTTTCCCATTTGGGAACGTGTCATAGTCAAGTCAAGAAGCATCTGGGTTTGAGTCTTGCCTCTGACTCATCCTGACTGTGTCTCCTTGGAAAGTCACTTAACCCCTTGGTGCTACAGTCAACTAAGAAGGCAAGTGTTTGATCTCCATTGATAAAGCAGATTTCCTCACTGGGTGTGCCCTCCACTAAAGAAATCACAGGGATGGATGAAAAGGAAGAAAATCTCTTGTCTAGGCCAAGATTTGGCACACTAGCGGAAAGATCTAGCAATAATCACGGCAGGTAGAAGGGCTGACATTCACACAGTGCTTTATGGTTTTCAAAACCCTAGACAGATATTCTTTCACTTGGGCCTCGGAGGTATGATTATCCCCATTTTACAGATGACTTAAAAAACGCAAGAAGGCAGAGAGGAGGTCTCATTAGGGAGAAGAGCAAAGAGCCCCTGAAATCATCTGTGCGCTTACCTGTGTAAATGAACCTTCCTGGGGCCCCTTTGCAGAACTGTTTAGACTTATATGATAATGTCACTTCCACCACTCCAGGGATGTGTCGAGGGGGAGTCTGGACTCTGATGGCATGAGGTGTTATCAGCTGGAGAGGAAACAAGTGAGAAAAAATAATGGGGAGAGAAAGAGAA